TAAAGGCGTGCGCCACCACCGCCCGGCAGGATTTCTTTTTGACGTAATGAAAGTATTCTAAAAATTGATTATAGGGCTAAATGTGGTTGTGTATACCTGTAATCCTGGCACGTAGGGGGTGGAGGCAGGGTGATCAGGAATTGGACCCCATCATAAGGTTTCCAGTGAGTTCAGAGCCACCTAGGCTATTTGAGTCCCTGCCCAAAATAAACGCATAAATTGATTGCAGGAGTGACTGTACAACTCTGTTAATATGCTAAAAACCATTTTATTGTATACTCTGTTGTATATGTGTATGCACCCGTGTGTGTATGTGAGAGCACTTGCACACATGGAGGTCAGAGGTCAGTGTCAGGGTCTTCTATTGCTCTCCACCTTATTTTTAAAGGCAGAGTCTCTCATTGAGCCTGGAGTCACTGATAGGCTAGAACAACTGGCCAGGAAGCCCTAGGGATGCTCCCATCTCCACCCCCCAGAGCTGGGATTGCAGGAGCATGTGGGTTCCGGGGACGCGCAGTCAGGTATTCATGTTTACACAGCAACCGCTTTACCCCTGAGCCATCTGGCCAGCCCCTGTTGAACACTGCAAATGTGTGAACTGTATGGAGTATGGATTTTTTTTTTTTTTTTTTTTTTTTTGAGACAGGGTTTCTCTGTGTATCTCTGGCTGTCCTGGAACTTGTTATGTAGACCAGGCTGGCCCCAAATTCAGAGATCCACCTGCCTCTGCCTCCCGAGTGCTGGGATTAAAGGCATATACCACCATGGCCGGGACATGGATTGTATCTTAATGAACTATTGTTGCATCCCTGCCCTGGAAAGCTAGTCAGTTCACAAACAAAAGAAAAGCGAACACGAATCCCGCACTCTTGCCTCCTCACGCTTTCTCCCGTCTTGCCTTTCCTTCCTGTGACCTCACAGGCAGAGCCCCGGAACGCCATCTTATCCAGGCCGGCGCTCAGGCTGGGCCCTCTGTTTGCTGTGTCTGTGACTCTGGCTGTCATCCAGCGTCCCCTCACTCAAGCAAGCATTCTGCCGAGCACTTCGACGCAGAGCAGAGCCTGGCATTACTGCCTTCAAGTCACCTGCAGCCCCCGGGGGCGAGATCAAACATGGTTTGCGACTCATTCAGTTGATTTAAGAGAAAAGTCCAAATGCAATGGTTTATTAGAAATAAGCTTGAACTAACTTCCCTCACACAAAATAGAAGCCTGAAGGTAGGCAGCCCAAGGCTGGTTTTGCGGTTCTTTGGGACCATGGCTGAAGTGGGTTGAAGAGCGAGTGGGAAATGGAGCAGAGAGAGCAGAGTGGCCATTGGTTGGATGTCTATATGGGGTTGAGGGGGAGTTTGAAAGGTGGTCCAGGTGGATGAAATGATCCAGTTTGGACAGAAGCCGGGGGTGGAAGAGGAGGAGGAGGAGGAACATCTTAGGGGTTCCCCTGTGCCTTTCTTCTCCTTTTAAAAGCTGTGTGTATTCATTTATTGTGTGTGGGAGAATGTGCCTGCATGTGCCGCAAGCTTGTGTGTGAGGTCAGGGGACAACTTGCTGGAGTTGGTTCTCTCTTTCTACACAGTGGGTCCTAGGAATGGAACTCAGGTCTTCAGGCTTGGGGCAAGCATCTTTACCTGCTGGGCGGGCTCACTGGCCCTCCATCTGTTTATAAAGGGCCAGAGGACAGAGCATTTGAAATATACATGGAGCTCAAATATCAGAGGAAAGGGGCACTTCTGGGTGCTATGAAAGAGAAGAGTGTCGGATGGGGCAAGCATTTCTAAGGGGATGCTTTTCTCTCTGTGTACTTTTTGAGAGAGCGTCTCACAGCCCAGACTGTCCTGGAACTTCCTATGTGCACCTTGAACCCGTAGTGAGGCTCCCAAATGCTGGGATTATAGGTGAGAGATGCCACACTCACCTGGTGCTCATTGCTTCTAACTGAAGATCCCTCTCCTTCCCTTCTCTCTCTTTCCCCTCCTCCATCCCTCTCTTCCCCCACCCTTCCTCCCTCCCTGCCTCCCCTTGTTCTCTTTCTTCCTTCTTTCCTTGCTTCCAGAGCATCTACTGAGTACCAGCGACAGCTCTATGGGTTGAGATCACCGCAGTGACTAAGGCCGGCTTTTCATGGAGCACACATTCTACTGGGTGGAGAGAAGCTGACAAATGGATGGATGGTTTCATTGCCGTTAGAAGGCAGTCAATGCTATTAAAGGGGAAAAAAAAGTGAAGCAGGCCAGAAGGCTGGGTGTTTTGGTGGGAAGGGAAGAGGGAATGAGGAAGGGTCTGGGTGGAGGAATGGGTTAATGGTATTAGCTTCTCCATGGAACAGTGGTGTGGCTGCCGGGCGGTGGTGGCGCTCGCCTATTCTAGCACTCGGGAGGCAGAGCAGGCAGATCTCTGTGAGTTTGAGGCCAGCCTGGTCTACTGGAGTGAGATCCAGGAAAGGCACAAAGCTTCACAAAGAAACCCTGTCT